CAAACACACGCACCATTAGGGATGGGCACTGGGGCCAGGTCAGCCCACAAGCTCGCTTGTTTGACTCGATCTTCAGTTCTGCTTAATTAGGCTCGGTGAGGGACAGGACCGATTCGGGCCACTACACTAGCGGGTCGCAGGACCTGCTACGTAGGTCTAAGTCAAATACGAGCCAACAACCGGTCGGCCCGAAGGCTACGAGGCCGGCTGGGCCTATATTGTCAACGGATGACTGCTTGTCTTAGCCAATGGCTCTCATTTGGTTGTAATAATATCTTTTATTTATGTTTATCGTAAATTTTTTATTCTTGTATTTTTTTTAAACTAATGGATTGATATTATGCACTCATTAATGTAAATCTTGCTCTGAACTGCATTAAATCTCTGTGTTTGTGAAGATTCTTTCTGTAACTGATGCAAATATGTAATTTTACTTAATATAATTATTTTTTTCAATTTTTACAATCATGTTATTGTTAGCTTGTTATTTACATACAATTCTTAAGTGTTAAACAATATTATTGAAAAAAAAAACTATTAAAATTAAATATTAAAAATTAATAAAAAATAATTAAGTGGGCTAGGTGGGCCGACCCGTGTCATGGTTTGTCCCGCATGTTTATGGGCTTGCGGGCAGGCGGGTTGAGCTCTAGACCCGGGAACAAGTGGCAAAACATAGCTCACTCAACTCGCTACAAGTCGTGGGCTAGCTAGCCTCGACACTAAGCTCGGATGGGCCGGCCTAGAGCCAGCACGACCCGTTGCTCAACCCTACCCACCATGGTGTTTTGCTAACACTTTGGATGAAAAACAGAATATCATGTTGTTTTTTTAAGAAAAACACAACAGGAGAAACACCTGCATGTTGTTTTGTTTGCGGTATTTGTAATGGAGCAAAGACTTAATGAGTGTTTATTGCATGTTTGATTAACATTTGGTATGAGCAATCTATAGATGAGACCAAAGAATTGAAAGAAATTTTGAACATAGTGGATGAATATATAAGAGAGAGGAAACTTTGGCTATTCTGATTTCTAGCTTTGCATAACATCTGAAGTCATCTGAAGAAGTGTGTACAAATTAAGCATCACGACTGCAGACCTACACTGCATAACAAAATCATCCAGAAAGCATAAATTAATGGAGTATGGTTGGGTGTTGATGGAGAGTGCAATCTGATGAAGATATTGGAGTCGCAAGAAGAAGAAAAGAGAAAGTTGTTACCCTTTGAAGTCTTTTAGTTTATGAATAACACGTTTAACAAAATTATGATAACGGCCGTTAAGAGTAAAACTCCTAACTAGCTTCTTCATCTAAATATGGTGTACACCTTTCTATATCATATTTGGTCGGGTTTAAAATATTTTGATCAAGTTATTACCAAATATATACCTTGCTTTTAAACTAATACCGTTTCTAATTTTCTACAAGAAAAATCGGTATATACTTGGCCTTCATTTCTCTTTTGTTATACTCAATCGAGTCGGAAAATCTTTACTCGAGACGGTGCATGAGGAGGGAAAAAAAAGACAAGGAACCAAAAAAGTAATAAAAAAAAAGGTTGTGGCTGAATGTTTTACACGTACTGATCAAAGCTCAAGTCAACCAATCGAAGTTGCGTCGACCATTTTGTTCAAATTCTAGGCTCTACGCCTAAATTTTGGCTGCTCGGCTTGCTGGGGTTTTTGGTTTCACCTTTAAAAAAAATCATGTACGTGTCTAGACTTCTTCCAAATTCGATGAACTTTTAGCCTTTCATTTTCAACCTACAGCTAATATTCCAGGGAGCTGCAATTTTGCCTTTTATTATCTTATTTCATTTATTTTTCCCACTCAGGTTATATATATAGAATCTAAAACAAAGCGTTTGTATCAATTGATCATAATGTCAGAAAAATATTTAAGTAAAAACATAAGAGTAATCAAAGGTACGGTGTAGCCTGTCTCATATGTTACAGTTATAATTAAAAACAAGGCAACCTCCCATGAGAAATATTCTAGAGCACAAAAGACACAATTAACAAATACTAATCAGATATTATTATTCAACCGACACTCTGTTAATCTTTAAGAACTAATTAAACAATATAGAAGCAAACAAATGACTTGATTAACTAGAGTTGACTGATAACAAAGAGCAACTCTTAAGCTAGTACTTCTCCCTCCATGTACTTCATTTCTTGTGGAAGCTCCCCTAACTAATATGATGAGTTGACTATACATATACATACAATGAAAGAATACAAGTACGCAAAGGAAAATACCAACCTCTCTCTCTCTCTCTCTCTCTCTCTCTCCCTCTCTCTCTCAAGTCTTGACCCAAATTTCCTGCCTAAGTCTGGCAAAAGCCATTAGAGTAAGATATACATTAGTATGGATTGAAAGTCAAATGTGCATGCATGGTTTGCTTATTTGAGCAAGTATAAATACAGGGATCCAACAATGGCGGTGGTATTTGTGGTGCTCCGTAGCTTGATTAATTAATCAAATATCTTTCTCCTTTGCTTAATTTAAACTTCTTCAGGTTTATATTTATGAATTCAAGGCAGAAGAACGAAGGTCTGCAGCTATCTTGGTGGTGAGGGGATTTTGGCAAAGCAATCCCGGTGATTCTCTTTATTAAGAATCATTTGTCATGTGAAAATGGTTTCTTGGGATTTGGCGTTTGACAATCCAAGTGCATTCTGGGATTTCAATCAATTTGCTGGCTTTACTACTGTTCAACTTTTATTCTCTTTTTTGGCTTTACTTTAAAACTACACCTCTTAACGTGCTACAAGCCTACAAGAGTATCTATTTAGAATCCCTAAACTACATATATAGTCGACATTATTTGCTAAGTCAGATCGAGATATAACACCAGAAATTCGTGACGATAGATTAACTTTTGCACTCAATTTAACGGGTAGAAGATAAACCGTCTTTTAAATTGAGGGTCAAAAAGTAATGTTGTTTGAGAATTCAGGGAGCAGATGTTGATAAAAAAAGTTATAGGGGGTATAGATGACCAGACACCGTAGTGGTGCAAAAAATGCAATTAATCCTCAAAAGTGACATATATTTATATTGCTTTCTATGATTTTCAAAATAGCTAGTGTGGTCCGTATGAAACCTTTTCTTGACTGTGAACACCCTTTTCGCAAGCTTGTGGTTTTTGTTCTCGAATGGGCTTATTTAGAGTAAAAAGACCAAACCTGATCAGATATCTAGGGAAGCTAGAGTTAACAAATCAATAGCAGGCACAGACCCCTATTCTTTAGGTGTGTATGCTCATTGGAAGGGGGAGGGCATCCTATTATTTACCCCTCGACCACGTGAGGTGTTATATATTTTGCTCGAATTTTCACACAGATTTATTGCTCTGCTAAAAGAATTAGAAGCTTGCTTCTTCATCGCTTTGTATGATAAAAAAAATGGCAAATATAACTAGTTTTAATTAGCTTTACCAATATTGTTTTAAACCTCTCTGTCTTCACTATCAAAAAAAATAGCGGATAGACCAGTACTGTTATCGCAATCATCGACTTAATTGTTAAATCAGTGGTTGCGATATTTCTTGTCAGTGTAAATTAGGAATGAGTAACAATTTACTATTATAGAAGTAATAATCTCTCCTCTCCGCTCCTTTTCACTAGCGAAGAGTTGAAGAGGAACCCAATCTTTTTCGCCATGAACCTGACCGGAGCTCATCAAGTTCCGTCTGTTCTACTCTTCCTCCATTGTTATATATTTTTCTTTTACGATAACAGAACCCTTAATGTTTAATATTAGTAGTATTATATAATTAGTAAAGCGTAGAAATTAGAGGGACGCGTATAAGAAAGCCATGCGTACATTGATTGTGTTCCTCGCACTCTTAGCCCCATTCTTCGCCTCCAAAACAGGCTTTTTATGGGTGTCGGAGGTGAAGAGGAGCGTGAATGAGAGATGACTGGGGTGAATTAAACGCCTCCATGCACCCCCCCTGCAACAATGCCACCTACGTTACTTGAACTCTAATTGAACTCAAATCCCATGTGAGTGATTGAGCCTCGCCTGCCTTTCGGGCTTCTCACCTTTCATTTATTAATTTGTTTTTATTTTTTAACCTCCCATAATTATTTTTTTTAAGCAACACGAGACTCACAACATCGGGTGTGTGTGCGTGTCTACATAAACTCCAAACCTGAGTCAGTCCTTGGCACAAGATCCACTGCCTTCTCAAACGTCGCAAATTAATCTCTTTATAAGTTCATATATACTTGCTAAAGAGCTTTGCAGTGGGCATTATTCGATCACTAGTTTAATTTTCCCCCGCTTCCCAATTTTGTCATCTCCAGCTTCCAAGCCTCTGAGCCTCTCTTCTTCTGGGTTCATTTTCAAGTGCAACTTATTCTCTTCAATGATTGCGTTCCTCTTGCTAAGTTGAAAGGAGTTTAATTAACTCGAGGTATTATTACTATTACTTCTACTTCCTGAGTATATCGCTGTCTTAGTTAGGCGGTTCGATCATCTTATATATTTAGTACCAAATGCATGTTTTTAGTCGCTTCCTGAGTCCCTATCTTCATAATCATCATTTGCCACATATATAGCATATATTCTTTCTCGTTGTTTGGTTAAAAGTGTACTCTTATTAACTGAATGTAGTATACTATTGTTATTACTTATGTGATATCTGCTAGTTATTCTCCGAGGGTCTTTTTTTTTCCATGGGGCCGGTCTCATGCAAGTGTTTTTTGCAAAACTAAATTTCCATGTCAAAACTTCTAATTTGTTTTTGAGGAAATATTCATGGGAAAAGTTGCCAGATTTTGCTAGCATATAAGCACGATCCTTTTGTCATAGGCTCATAATTGCTCTCTTGCCACCTAACCAAACAAAACCCACAGAAATATGATTAGGAAAGTTTGGGATTTTGCAGGATATTGTTTACTGCTTGCAATATTTAAGGAGCATAAATCTACATCTCTAACAATCCCAACTTGAAAATTGGTGCTTCTCTACTAAAGGTTTTTTTTTTCTGAATGTTTGATTTAGATTTTGATTAACACGACTTCAAACTACTAAAATAAAAGTAAACAAAAAAGTTACTATTAATTGGTGCTGTTTTTTTTATTGAAGCTTAATTATTTGATGCAGGTTTCTCCATCCCTCCACAGTTTTCAAATTTCATCAAATGGGTTTTGTTCGAACTCCAAGCGTAAGTAGCAGCGATTACCTCGAAGGCATGATGAACGATTACGCCGCAGGAAAAGGTAACAAAGCAAGAGTAGCAAAGTTCTCCTCTGCTCGCCTCGTAGCTGCCCTCACTTTCCTCCAGTTCACTTTCGCCATCTACGCCACTTTTCTCCTCTACTACATGAGCCCTTCTGTCGATCTCCGAACAAAACCAGACTTCTCATGGGCCACTCGAGTCGCTCAACAGTGGAGGCACTTCATCGTTCAGCCTCATCAAATGCTCGCCGGTGTTCAAGAAAACCTAGTCCCTCTATTGCCATCAGAAGTCTGCGAGCGAGAGCGGATCGATTTTGAACAGAAGAAATCTAATGATGCTGTTATGATAAGGCTCAAGAGAGAGCTCTATGACGAAGTGTTGCAGTTTCAGAAGAGTAGTTTCGGGACGGAAACGCTCGATGAGCTCATGAGAATGAAGTCCAAATGGAGCTTGACGAGTCCTAACATACCTAAAGTTACTGTCATCTTGAACCATTTCAAGAGGAAAACGCTTTGTTCTCAGCTCGAATCGCTGCTTCATCAGACGCTGCCTTTTCACCATGTGTGGGTGCTTTCCTTTGGTAGTCCAAATGAGCTCTCCCTGAAAAGAATTGTAGACAGTTACAACAATTCAAGAATTAGCTTCATCAGCTCGAGCTATGATTTCAAGTACTACGGAAGATTTCAGATGGCTCTACAAACGGAATCAGACTTTGTCTATATTCTCGATGATGATATGATACCAGGGAGGAGAATGCTGGAGATACTGACGCACGTTGGAGGAACCGATAAGTACCAGAATTCTGTTCTGGGGAGTATAGGAAGGATACTTCCTTTCAGGGAGAAGAACTTTAGGTTTCCCAGTTACAGGAAGTTTCGGTCAAAGGAGGCAGGATTGTATTTACCTGATCCTGCATATGACATAACCGTTGATAGAATCGTGCAGGTGGACTTCTTGTCGAGCTCTTGGTTTCTGTCTGCTGATCTTGTGAAGACGCTGTTCGTGGAGAAACCCTTCACTTTTATGACTGGTGAAGATCTGCATCTCAGGTAACAAGTCGCATATGTAAGAGTATACTTCTGTACCAATTCCTACACAGAAACCTGATCTGATAAATGTTTTTCCGTTGGTAGCTATCAACTCCAGAAGTACAGAAATGCGGGATCCTATGTGCTTCCAGTTGATTCGAATGACAAGGAAACATGGGGTGACAGTGAGCACAGGCTTGCTTATGTGTCCGAGACCACCGTAATCTTCAAGGATATCGTCGAAGTACGAGATGATCAATGGTGGAAGGCACTCACTAGCGGCTACGTCACACAGTGGGCTGCGATGTACCCTCAGAAGATCGACGCTCTCTTCTATGCTCATTCGCTTGACGAAGTGAAAGCGTTAGCTCCTTTGCTGGAGAAGTTCAGAGCCACAGCTAGAAGGAAGGCCTATATCGCGGTCTCCGGTGGGAGCTTCTGCCCTTGTGAAGAAGCCGCCGCAGCTCTCAACTGGCCTAGGACAGTATGCAAGGAGAGGTGGTTCAAGATCTTTGATCTAGATGTTGGAGCCATTCTGGGAGTTTCCAATTCAGAGGTCCCAATCTTGCAATCGGTCTACTCTAGCATCAAGGGGCTTCTGAAAATTCACAATCCCAGTATGCTTATAACAGTTGCTGATGTAGACGTCAATGTGAAGAATGCTCTCAAGATGGCTGCCGAAACTAGTCAGAACCAGACAGCTTTGGTTCTTCTGCCAAGGTCTTCCATCACCAAGGTTCTCTGGATTCCTAGTCTAAGACCAGCAGCATTAACAAGTAAGAACCCTGCCTTAATTCGCCCAATTCTAACAGACCTTGTAAGGCTCAAGCAATCCATTTATTATCTGTAAATATTGCAGACTGGAACAGGATGAGGCTCTCGGTCAACGTCATCACCCAGAACCGTGCAACCTCTCTTCTTAGACTCCTCCAATCCCTCCAGAATGCTTTCTATCTTGGAGATGAGGTCCCTTTGAGCTTCAACATGGACAGCAGGGTCGACGAGGAGACCCTGAAGATTGTCGGATCCTTCAACTGGACACATGGGCCCAAAGTCATAAAAAGGAGGATCATTCAAGGTGGCCTGATCCGAGCAGTTAGCGAGAGCTGGTACCCTTCCTCTGATGATGATTTTGGCCTCTTACTGGAAGATGACATTGAGGTATCTCCCTACTATTTTCTATGGATCAAGTATGCTCTCATGGCTTACTACTATGATCCCCAAGTCTCCCTCCCTGAGCTTTCTTCCATATCTCTTTACACCCCAAGGCTCGTTGAGGTGGTGAAGGAGAGACCCAGATGGAATGCAACTGAATTCTTCAAGAAGATTCACCCCAACACTCCTTACCTCCATCAGCTCCCCTGCAGTTGGGGAGCAGTTTTCTTCCCCAAACACTGGAGAGAGTTCTACGCGTACATGGGCTCAAGGTTCACTGAAGACGCAAAGCAGAGCCCGGTTCAAATTCCCAAGTCAAGGACTAATGGCTGGCAAGCCTCGTGGAAGAAGTTTCTCATTGACATGATGTACTTGAGAGGGTATGTTAGCTTGTATCCGAACTTCCCAAACCAAATGAGCTTCTCGACGAACCATATGGAGCCAGGAGCACACATCAGCGCCAAGGACAATGTGGTGAAGCACAACAAGGAAGACTTTGAAGTGCCCCTGCTGCGTGATGATTTCGCCAATTATTTGCCAGTTGGGAAGTTGCCTCCAGCTTCGAGGTTGCCAGTCCTGAACTTGTTTAATCAACCTACACCACTGAAGGGATTAAAAGCAGCAGGAGCAAAGCTTGGACAAGATGTCATCAAGTGTAGCAGTGACAGTGAGATTGTCGTGGTTGATCACAGTACAGGTTTACCTCAGACTTGCTCACAGTTATAAGAAGAATGATGTTAACCAGAAGGTATTCATTTAATTTTTTGCTATGTTCTTGGGGGACGAGGTGTTATATTTAGATTCAAAAGATTGAAGGGCCTGTGGCAGTGGGCTCATTTGCTACTTTTGGCGGGAGCGGATATTGCCGTAACAAAATATGTACTTAATCTGTGTTATTTTGCAAATTACTGATTCTTGTTCATTTTCCTAATGAAGGGTATTTCACAATTTCTACGCTAATGTAGCCAAAAGTGACTTCTTATCGTCCGTTCTCTCTTGCACGCACAAGCCGGTTGAAGTGTTTTTTGCATAGATGAGAAATCACATAACATTCTTCACCTATGACTCGAGTGGGTTCAGTCTTTACATTAACACCATCTACATTGGTATTCTGATGCACGGAAACAATAACTTGATTGTGTATCAGAAAATACTTGAAAGAGGAAAATTGACAGCATGATCATCCAATAACAATATTTAAGTGGTTAGTCAAGGAAATTTTTTGTTTGGACTGATTATCTCATGTATACTCATAAGCGAAAAAATATGAACACGAAAATCCTTTACCTGTCCCTCGAAAGCATATAAAGACCATCCATGTGCATGACTAATACCATTCAGTATTTTATGTATGTCATGAAAGTTATATAGATCACAATTCCTTCTATTCGAACATATTATGACTTTTTTAAAATAAAAAAGGATGAATTTTAATGTATAGTTGGTGTTACTTTCCTTTGGTAGGGAGAGGAATTTAAAAAAAGATGTTTCCAAAACCATAATTTAAGGCATTAGACATATAAGGATGTGTATTTTAAACAGAAAAGAGTTGGAAGAAAACAATAATCTCTCCAGAGACAAAACAAACAATCCAGCAAACATGATGATCAGAGTTATTAAATCCATGTAACAAATAAATGTGATTATACAAAATAGCATTATCCACCATTTTTAGAAATGGGCCCACATTTATAAAAATCTCAGAGCTTGGGATGAAATAGGGAAGAACTCGATCCACATTACTAGCAAGTAATAAGATCAGCAAAAGAACTACTCCAAAAGGATGAAGGAGGACTTTGTGAGAAAATACCAGACTGCAACTGCCTCATCTCCCTGTCGCCATTAACAACTGATTTGATGATGGAATACTTTTTTGCCCAACTCTGAACCTTCAAGTCGAAATGTTGGAAATGGGTGTAGACCCTTACCTTATCAGCGACGAACGAGATGAGCTCCGGCAACGTCGAACAGCTCAGACGAGCTCCAGGTTTCAGTTGGCCTTCATATGTAAGAGATGAGGGCGGAGCCACACAGAAGAAGATGCTTGTTAAGAGAGAGCCTGCTGATGGCGGTATGGTCTCCAAGTGGGAGATTGTTGGAAATGGGTATAAACCCTTACCTTATCAGCGACGAACGAGATGAGCTCCGGCAACGTCGAACAGCTCAGACGAGCTCCAGGTCATGGGGACTTCAGGCGAAGTCAAATCGGCGGCGAATCGACAGCTTCAGGCGAGGCTGAGTTGGAGAAGGCGCGGATGAATTCGAACAGGCGAATTTGGATTTTGGGAACTCAGGCGAATGTTTGAGACCCCTTGCTGGCGAGATTCAACGTTTGGCGATTTCGAACGGAGTAAAGTCGGGCGAAATCGTTGCAGGCGAGCTTTGGGGATGAGCAGGCGAGATCGTTGTTCGCCTTCCCCATTCGTTCTTTCGCCAGCGCTGTTGGGAAATAGCTGGCATTAGCTGGCTAGGGTTTCCCTATAAAAGGAAAACCATGAGCAGCGAATGAGTGGTTCAAGCCCCAATTTTTCTTCTCAGAGCAGTTACTCTTGCGGCGGCTATTAAAGGAGAGAATTTTCAGAGGGAAATTCTACTGAGTTCCTGTAGCGATTTATTGAGGAGAAAAAGAGAAGATTTTACTGTTGTAAAATCTCGCGCCTTTTATTTGAACAACAGAGAGTTTTTTTTTCTGTTTGGTTCTTTTGAGAGATCTCAAGTTTTGAGATCTGCTCTTTACAAGCTTTGTAATCTTCTTTAATATAAAGGAAATTATTTGTGTGGCTCCTGAGGACGTAGGCAAGTTGCCGAACCTCGTTAAAACTCGGTGTTCTCTGTTCTTGCGATAATTTTTTGATTTGTAGTAATTCCTTTTTTCCATTGCTTAAACACAAGATCCGGTAGGGCAATTCCGCAGAACGGGTGTCAGAGCGTATCTGAGTTTATCCCCAAAAACTGGTATCAGAGCCCTTGTTCAGATTTGTGTGTGTAAGAATGGCAGAAGAAGGCAAATCTAAAATTGAGAAGTTTGACGGATCAGACTTTGCCTACTGGAAGTCACAGATGGAGGACTATCTGTACCAGAAGGACCTTTACCGTCCGTTGATGGGTAAAGCAAAGGGCAAGAAGAAAGAAGAATCCGACGAGGACTGGGAAATATTGGATCGAAAAGCCTTGGGGCAGATCTGATTGGCCCTCGCAAAATCTGTAGCACACAATATATTAAAGGAGAAGACGACGGTGGGGCTTATGGAAGCGCTCGCAACGATGTACGAGCAACCGTCAGCTGCAAATAAGGTGCATCTCGTCAAGACGCTATTCAACCTCAAGATGGCAGAAGGATGCTCTTTCACGATGCATCTCAGCGAGTTCAACACGATTGTTGATCAACTCATCTCAGTCGACATCAAGTTTGATGACGAAGTGCAGGCCCCGTTGATACTATCACAGTTGCCGGATAGTTGGGCAGGTTGCGTGACCGCAATCAGCAACTCGGCGGGAAAAGGGAAGTTGAAGCTGAAGGAGGTGATAGCTATGATTCTATCCGAGGAGGTTAGAAGAAAATCGAATGAATCAGAAGGTTCGGGTTCAGCTCTAAGTCTCGAGCAGAGAGGTATGATTCTATCCGAGGAGGTTAGAAGAAAATCGAATGAATCAGAAGGTTCGGGTTCAGCTCTAAGTCTCGAGCAGAGAGGCAGAAGCCATAATAGGGGAAACCAAAACAGGAATCGATCGAAGTCGAAGAAGAAGAGGTCGAACTCGAAGGTGAGACCTATCAAGGGAAAATGTTAGAACTGCGGCCAGGAGGGCCACATGTCTTCTACTTGTAAAGCACCGAATAAAAATGAGCAGGAGGCTCATATTGTGCAAGATGCGCTGATTCTCGCTATGGATAGCGATTCCGATTCATGGGTTATTGATTCGGGAGCCTCATTCCACGCCACTGCTAATAGAAGGCTATTTCAGAACTATGTAGCAGGGGACTTTGGGAAAGTATACTTGGGGGATAATGAACCCTGTAGTGTCATTGGAAGAGGCGATGTGCAAATACAGTTAAAGGGATCCAAGTGGTCTCTGAAGAATGTCAGGCACGTACCGAAGTTGAAGAGGAATCTTATTTCGGTTGGCCAGCTCGGAGCAGAAGGCTATGCTACAACATTCACTGGAGATTTGTGGAAAATCTCCAACGGTACAATGGTGGTTGCCCGTGGCAATAAGACTGGTACCCTCTACCTAACTTCACACGCGAGCGACACCCTCGCGATTGCTGCAGGCAAGGAGAGTGCAGATCTGTGGCACAACAGGCTGGGACACATGAGTGAGAAGGGTATGAAGATTCTACACTCAAAATGGAAACTAACCGGCATCGATTCAGTAGAAGTTGGTGTTTGCGAAGACTGTATTTTCGGAAAGCAGAAGAGAGTTAGTTTTCTGAAGGGTGGAAGACCACCTAAAGCTCACAAGCTAGAACTTGTTCATACAGACGTATGGGGTCCAGCTAGCGTGTCTTCTCTTGGCGGTTCGGCGTACTATGTCACCTTTATCGACGATCACTCGAGAAAGGTGTGGGTATACTTCATGAAGCACAAGTCGGAGGTGTTCAGCATCTTCAAGAAGTGGAAAGCCATGGTGGAGAACGAGATAGACCTGAAAGTGAAGTGTCTGAGATCAGACAATGGTGGAGAATATAATTTGGAGGAGTTCAAGAAGTTCTGTGCTCTGAACGGGATTCGTTTGGAAAGGACTACTCCAGGGACGCCGCAACAGAACGGCGTAGCAGAAAGAATGAACAGAACGCTGACAGAGCGTGCGAGGAGCATGCGTCTACATGCAGGTCTACCAAAAACTTTTTGGGCGGACGCGGTGCATACAGCAGCGTACTTGATAAATCACGGGCCATCAGTTCCACTGAACTTTGGGATTCCGGAAGAGGTTTGGAGTGGCAAGAAGGTTAATCTCTCACACTTGAGAGTCTTTGGGTGCGTGGCATACGTCCACATCAGTGACCATGTCAGGGACAAGCTGGAAGCTAAGTCATTGAAGTGTACATTCATTGGGTACGGCATTGATGAGTTCGGGTATCGTCTGTGGGATGAGAAGAACAGGAAGATCATCAGAAGCCGAGACGTCATATTCAATGAGGAAGTGATGTACAAGGACAGGGATAATGCTAAGGCGGGCCAAAGAAGTGGGAGCAGCACTACGGATGCAGACGCATCCGAGTACATAGATTTGGAGGAACTTCCAGATGGGGGAGACAACGTCGATTCTGACCAAAGAACGGAGGAGACTCCAGTTGCAGAACCGACTACCCAGGGTGAGGAGCTTAGGAGGTCATCCAGAGTACCCAAACCGAATCCCAGGTATCTCTCGTCACTAGACTACCTACTTTTGACAGATAGCGGAGAACCAGAATGCTATGAGGAGGCTATGCAAGTGAGCGAATCTCAGCAGTGGGAGCATGCAATGCAAGAAGAGATGGATTCTCTCCACTCGAATGAGACATGGGAGTTAGCCCAGCTACCTGCACAGAAGAAGGCCTTACATAACAAGTGGGTTTACCGAGTCAAGCAGGAGAGTGATGGAAGGAAGAGGTACAAGGCCAGATTAGTCGTGAAGGGTTTCCAACAGCGGGAAGGAGTGGATTATACGGAGATATTTTCCCCCGTTGTGAAGCTCACAACCATCAGGGTAGTGTTGAGCTTGGTAGCTGCTAAAAATCTCCACCTTGAGCAGTTAGATGTGAAGACTGCCTTTCTTCATGGCGACTTGGATGAAGAAATCTATATGAAGCAACCTGTTGGCTTCATTGAGGAAGGAAAGGAAGAGATGGTGTGTAGGCTCAAGAAGAGCTTATACGGATTGAAACAGGCCCCACAGCAGTGGTATAAGAAGTTCGATAACTTCATGCAGAGCAATGGCTATGGCAGATGCTACTCAGATCATTGCTGTTACTTCAAAAGGTTCGAGTCCAGCTATATCGTGTTATTGCTGTATGTTGATGACATGTTAGTTGCAGGACCGTGCTTACAGGAGATAAACAAGCTGAAGAAGCAGTTAGCAAAGGAGTTTGCCATGAAGGATCTGGGCACAGCGAAGCAGATTCTTAGGATGCGGATCAGCCGAGATGCGGCTGAGGGGACGTTGAAGTTGAGTCAGTCTGAATACATTGAGAAAGTACTTCAGAGATTCAACATGCAGAATGCTAAGGCCGTTAGCACGCCCCTTGGAAGCCAGTTCAAGTTGTCTGGTGAACAATCACCTAAGACTGATGTAGAGAAGGAGCACATGAGGAAGGTACCGTATTCATCAGCCATTGGTAGTCTGATGTACGCAATGGTTTGCACGAGGTCGGATATTGCCCATGCAGTGGGAGTTGTAAGCAGGTTTGCAAGCAACCCAGGGAAACAGCATTGGGAGGCCGTGAAGTGGATATTACGATATCTGAGAGGGACTACGAACAACCCAGGGAAACAGCATTGGGAGGCCGTGAAGTGGATATTACGATATCTGAGAGGGACTACGAATATACCACTGTGTTTTGGGAGAAAGGAGTTGGTACTGCAAGGATACGTGGATGCAGATTTTACCGGTGATCATGATACGAGGCGAAGCACCACGGGGTATGTTTATACCTTAGGGTCGACAGCAGTGAGCTGGGTCTCACGTTTGCAGAAGATTGTGACGTTGTCCACAACTGAGGCAGAATATGTCGCAGTCACAGAGGCGAGCAAGGAGATGATTTGGCTAACCGGGTGCCTGGATGAGTTGGGTCTGAAGCAGGGGAACGAAGTTCTTTATTGTGATAGACAGAGTGCTATACACCTTGCCAAGAACCCAGTGTTTCATGCCAGAACGAAGCACATCGAGTTACGTTACCACTTCATACGCTCGATGATTGAGGACAGGAAGTTACAGTTAGAGAAGATTTTGGGGAGCCAAAATCCTGCAGGAACTTATGAGTTGGAGGAGCTCATGCACACGTTTGAGAATCTGTCAGGTACAGATTTTGTGCAAGCGGTGACAGGTTTGGACTCTGAGATGCATGCACCAGTTGTTTAATGTCGGGGTTAATTGCATATGAACCCCTTGTAGTGTTGGAAATGGGTGTAGACCCTTACCTTATCAGCGACGAACGAGATGAGCTCCGGCAACGTCGAACAGCTCAGACGAGCTCCAGGTCATGGG